GTGACCATGTACACCAGACAACTTCATCTCAAATCACACACCCCCCATTAGACTTGAATCAAGACTTATTCACATCCAAAAAGGTTCTTCTTTAGAGAAGAAAAACACACCATTTGAGTATAAAACCTTCACCATCTTGCAATTTCAGACACTAACTTTGAAACCTCTTCAGAATTTCTAAACTTCACCTTCTCCCTCAGCCCTTTCCGTTATCTTCTCCTTGTCCTCCACAGTCTCTGTGTGTTCCACCTCCTCCTCTTCCTCCTGTTTCAGGGCCTGTAGTTCTTCTTCATCACAACAGAGCTCCTGAAGCATCTCCTGGTCAGGCCCGAGCTCTTGTAAAGGTGGAGACTCAGACAACACATATTCCTCATCCCATTCAAGAGAGGGGCCATCCAGCTCTTCCACAACCTGAAGGTACACAATCACACCAGTCACATGTCACCAGTCACATGTCAACCACACAGGTCAACAAACACTATATTAAAAGTATATGGGCCTCCCCAGCTTACTCCTAGTTCTTCAAAAGGTTTCTTCTTCATTAACTTGAACATTTTGGCAAGCTTTTGGAGATTTTGGAACAATATGCATAGCAATAAATACAAATAAACTGAATTGGAAAATAATAAAAGTGAATCAAACGAAGACATGAACCAAGTTCTGAACATAAGAACATTGTGGGGTAATAAGTCAATAGCGTCGAATCTCTTGAGATGAAGTCAAGTTTCAAACTGGCTCACAAACCACACTTGCCTCCTACACACACAGCGCTCAGCATCTTGTAATGAGACTGTAAAAGTATCCATCTGTGATCTGCAGAAGCTCGCAAAAATCTTTACTTCTGTTTTTCCCAGGGCTGAATCTAAATCTGTCATGAGTTTTAAAGCCCACATATGCTGAAGCATGTGCAGGCAGTGAAAGCAAGTGTTCAGTGAGGTTCAATACCTGCTGTAGGTGATCCGGTGTTTGGCTGCTGGCCGCTCTGTTGTCCAGCGGAGCCTTTAGTCGGTCAAGTTCCTCTTGCAACTGCTCCTTCTGATTCTCCTGCTCTTGTACCCTAAAAATTCACACAAAACCCACTGAATTCACAAAACTTCAAAAACACAATTTCTCTTTGACTAAACCTTTTGTGCAAACTCACTATATTGCAACTTCTGCAAAAA